AATAATAATAATAATAATAATAATAATAATAATAATAATAATAATAATAATACAAACTTGTGTAAGGAATAGTATATTGGTTACATATTCTTCCACTAGGAAGGATATACAAAATGTAAATTTTTCATCCGAGAACTTAGAAAACCCATGAATAAAATATTTACAAAGCACGAATCTGCTTTATTCTTATTTATTATTTTTATTATTATTATAATTATTTTTATTATTATTTTTACACATTTATATTATATAAAGCTGTTGCATAGCGATTTAGAAATAAATAGTCTCTTCACCCGGACTATTGGTGCTAGAGGCTGAAAGATAAGATCAATTTAATATAGTTGATGGGCGTGGTATGCCGAAGCCATCCATTTGGATTATGAATGATTATTATTAAAATGTTTTTTTTTTTTTTTTTCGGTATTAATGCTTTAATTATCACACATTATTCATATCATTTGTTGTACTCTAATCTCTGTAGCGGTTCGAGCAGATCGTATGCGCGGAGGCCGTAACAAATTTGGGCCCATGTACAAAAGGGATCGCGCGCGCAAGCTTCAGGTGATGCGACAGCGGCAACTGGCTCTGCAGGCGCTGCGGAGCTCTATAGGTTCAGATATTAAGCCAACGCCACTCTCCCCTGGCTATCAGCAAGCATATCCAAATATGAATATTAAGCAAGAAATTCAAATACCTCAGGTGAGTGCAAAGATTAGAGTGAATTTGGCGACAGAATACACCTATTGATACATATACTAGGTATCCTCACTCACGCAATCGCCGGACTCATCACCTAGTCCCATAGCCATTGCTTTGGGCCAGGTGAGTGCGGGCGCTGGCGGTGTGATAGCCACGCCCCAAAATATAGGCAATTTGAGTGGCGGCAGCTCGCTAGGCAATGGCAACAGCAACACCAACAACAATAGCGCAGGAAGTGCTGGCGGGGGCAGTGGGGGTGGTAACAATGCTGGTAGCGGAAGCAGCGCCAGCAACAGCAACAACATCCCCGATGGCCTACAACGTAACGGAAACAGTGGCAATAGCAACAGTAACAGCAGCTGCCATGAAGCCGGGAATGGATCTCTGCAAAACACAGCTGAATCGAAATTGTGGTATTTATTTATCATTGACAGCCTTATTTTTGACCCTACCAGCCCCTTAAATACCGACCCAAGCCAATTAATTTCATACAAGGACAAATTTGTTGACGAATTATTTTTACTTTTTATACCCTGAACCCATTAAAAATGATAAATCAGGGTATAATGGTTTTGTTAAAAGTATGTAACAGGCAGAAGGAGGCGTGGC